CTAAACAGCTCTTCAAGACCCCTGAAAGAGCAGGCTTCAGGCTTCTGCCTGTCATCTGTAGCCTGGCCTCTAACCAGGCATCAGCCAGGACAAAAGGTGCCAAGCCTCTGGGGTTGGCCTACGACCCTGAGCCTCCTCTTCTGCACCTGTCCTTTGCAGTGCCAACACTACAGCTAGCCCCGTGGCTTCCTTCTGCCGGCAGGACTGGTGAGGGTCCTGGTGTCTTGGAACTAGGGTCTCTTCCCTCTGCTGAGTAGGCTAATCTGGGCTCATGGCAATGGTCAAAGTCTGTGTGTTTCCTGGAACTTGAGGATCCTGGTGGTCTCAGCTCTGCCACCTGCTGGCCAAGGGACTTTTTGCTGTGTCTGACTTCTTTGGCCTTAGTCTCCCTTCCTTCCTTCCTTCCTTCCTTCCTTCCTTCCTTCCTTCCTTCCTTCCTTCCTTCCTTCCTTCCTTCTTTCCTTTTCTTTCGAAGGTGCTTTTTTTGGTTTTGTTTATTTGTTTGTTTGGTTTTTTTTCTGAGAGAGAGGTTTCTCCGTGTAGCCCTGGCTGTCCTGGATCTCACTCTGTAGACCAGCCTGGCCTCGAACTCATAGAGATTCGCCTGCCTCTGCTTCTCAAGCGCTGGGACGTGTGTCACCACACCTGGCTTATCCAGTTATTAATGTGATGAATTCCCAGGAAGCTCACAGACCTGAAATTAAATGACTTTGAACCTGGGGTAAGTCTGTGACTGTCCCATCTCCTTTGAAACTCTGCCATTTCTTCTAGAAAGAAGGCCTGTGAAGCATGGGTACCTCTTAGCGGGTGACAATGCCTGCCTCTAGCTCTCCCTTCAGAAGGCAGCTGCTTTCTGATATGAGTTAAGTAAATGTTTCTTTATGTTGTATTTTTTCTTTTTTTTTTAAACAAACTTTATGAAGCTGTAATTCAGATACCATAAAAGCTGCCCATTAAAACGCACGATTTAATGGATTTTAATATATTCACAGGGCGGTACAAACTTCCCCAACAATCTGCCTTGGAACGTTTCCCAAAGGAACTTTGTACCCTCTGAGCACTCCTCAGCCTCCTGTTCCCTGGACCCCTGGGCGCCACCAAGCCGCCTCTGTCTCTCAGACCAGCCAGCTCTGGTTCTCACAGAAATGGAGTCAGCTAGCTCGTCTTTGCTGACTGGCGTTTTCAGTTATAATGGAGAACGTGGTTGTCGGACTGGGACTGTAGTTCAGTTGGTAGAGTGATTGCTTAGAACACGTGGAGCCCCGGTTCAACCCTCAGTGCCACACACACTGGGTCTTCTGATGCGTGCCTGTGATCCCAGTCCTGGGGCATAGAGGGAAGAGGATCAGGAGTTCAAGATCAGCCTCTGCTGCTGCACAGAAAGTTTAAGGCTAGACTGGACCATATGGACCTTGTCCAAGAACAGAGAGAAGGAAGAAGAGGGGGAGGAGGGACGGGCGGAGGAAAGAAAAGAAAGGAAAACATGTTGATTTCGCAAGGAATGCTGGGTTTAGTGCATAGTTGTAACCCTGCTTTCTTCCTCCCAGTGGTTTTGGTTAGTTGTTTGGGTTTTGTTTTGTTTTGCATTGTTAGGAACTGAGGACCTGATGCATGTTGGGTAAGCACTCTACCACTGAGTCCTAGGCCTCGTCTTTGAGATTTGATTTTGACACAAGGTCTCACTAAGTTGACTAGGCTGACCTTGAACTCAACTCTGCAGCCCAGACAGGCCTTGAACTTGTGCGCTGGCCTCATCCTCCCAAGCAGCAGAATGACAGCCCCACGTCACTGTCCCAGCTTCTATGGGTACTTTTCCATTTGAGAGAACTGACCTTTGGCTCAAGCCGCCATCACCCACGGATGGTGGAGATGTTTGGGCATCAGCGCTAGGGCCTGTCTAAGACCCCTGACCCGGTGTGTTCTGATTTGGGGTCTCTTCTGTTCCTTTGCCCTCCCCCATTGCTCCCCAGGCTTGGACGGTGGGAGAAGGGCATCCACAAAGCGCAGAACAAATGACCAGTCCCCACTATCGACAAGTTCCAAGGGACAGCTGCGGGCTGCCTGTCTCTCCCCCATGCCTTCATCTGGAAGTAGAGCCTACAAGTTTAATTATGCAATTAAAGTCATTTTCCTGAGCTGAGCAAATATTTACGAGCCTATCTCGCTGTAAACGACTGTGCCTGGAGAGTAGGCCTGCCACTCAGACTGGCAAACGCTGGCTCATTTGCATATCCCATTACCAAGGGGCTCCCAGCCTAGCTGGGCCCCAGGACCTGGGCTGCGTGGGCAGGGCTCTCAGGGAGAGGTGTGAGCCACGCAAATGGCCTCACTCCGCGGCTGCTGTGGACTCAGTGACGTCTGCTGCTCCACTGTGGTGGTCCCCAAGTCCCCACTCTACGCATCTCAGAGACCTCTGAGCTTTCGTCCTGATGCCGAGGGCATCCAGGTGGCTAAGAGAACATGACTCAGAGACATAGTTTTGTAATAACAAACCCCTCATTGATCATGCCCAGCTGCCCTCCTGTCATGGCTACAGGCCTGCTGAAGTGGCCTTAGCTTGAGTTCTGACCCTCTCCTGGGGGCCCCCTTTCTCTGTTGAACTTCCTGTAAGAGCCAGGCAGGAAAACTTCAGGCCAAACTTCAGGGTCAGCGAGAAGAAAGACCGCTGGTTCCAGCTTCCCCCAACCAACAGGTGCCTCACCTCAAGTAGCCATTTGTCCCGACCAAGGGCACTTCGCATCTCTCGAGGGGGCATTTTAGCCGTTGAGGGGGCCTCCTGCTCTGATCTAGAAGCTGACTTGCAGCAAGGTTCTGGAGGGCTTTTGTGGAATAGCAGGTTGTGAGGTCAGAGGCAAGGAGAACAGTTCACAAACCAGCTGTTGGTAGAAATGGTGGCCCTGAGACAGGAGTTCTGAGCTGAGGCCAGGTCTCTCAGTTGTGTGGGCAGGTCTGGGATGAGACAGTGCCCGGGTAAATCACCTCTTCTTCCATTCTAATGGCTACCCAGTGATCTCTTCTGGAAGAACTACAGCTTTTCTCGTTCATTCCAGTGACTGGGCTATTCCAGGCCTTCATCATGATTGACGGCAGCTTGACTGATGGCCGTCAGCACCTGGATACTGTCTTAGGGTAGATGTGAAGTTTTTCTTAGGAAACAATTTTGACTTTTATTCCTTCCTTCTTTCCTCCATCCCTCCCTCCTTCTCTTTTTCTCTTTCCCCTTTCTTTCTTTTGTGGTACCCTGAAGGTAGCTAGCACTTGCTGACTGAGCTACAAACAAGCCCAGCCCAAGGATGCACCTCAGAAAGGTAGAATTGCCGGACTCGGGCCCTTTTGCTTGGGTCTCATGAAGGGTGAAGGTGACTGTGGAGTTGGGATATTGAAAGAAAGGAGTGTGCTCCTCTCCCTTCACCTGGCATCTATGAGGAGGGAGGAGGGAGGCCACACAGAAGACGGAGTGCCACCCCGGAGCTACAGTTACTCATCAGAGTTGATGAGAGAGGGGAAAGGCAAGGTCCCACCATAATACGGCTCCCACCCAGTCACACGGAGGACCTGGAGTAAAGCAGAGATCACTGTCCTCATAGGGTCCTTTTCTGTGCCACACCCCTTCTGGAATCAGTTCCCTGAATCTCTTCAAGCATCCTCAAGACCATGCAAACCAACCCATTTTGCAGCCAAGGAAACTGAAGCTCAGAGTTCCTTGCAATCACGTCAGGGCGCACTGAGGAAACAAGTTGAGCCTCGGTTGGTCAGCTTGCACCCATACTCTCTCACAGACCCCCAGAGCCTGAACTGAGCTGGGCCATCCCATGTCACCCTCAAATCCTACAGGGCAGGACATCAATGAGGTACAGGGAGACCCCGTTGCCACGTGTCTGAGGCTGTCATCTAGGAATGACAGAGGAGCTGGAGGTCAGCCTGGAGTCATTACTGCAGCAGTGACATGGGACAGAGCTCCGGCCTCATGTGTCCCAGACCTCCTGGTGTGGGCACAGATTAAGGGAGCCATGCAGGCCCATGAGAAGCCCAAGGCTCTGGTTCAAGAAAACAACCCTGCTTCTCTGAAAAGGGAAGGGAAGAGTGAACCCCAGCCCAGGTGTATGCCCCTGGTCTCAGTTTTGCCACCTGAAAATCAAGGCAATCCTGGGGGATTGTGGATCTGCGGAGGAAAAGGGAGGGAGTGTCCCGGGGTATCTAACAAGTGTGGGAACAGCCAGCTGCTGGGTGTGGCGGAGGAGGCTGCAGTGATCTGCCTGCTCCCTGAAAGGAAAACACACTCTGGGGGGGGGGGGGGGAAGTGCATAACCGTAGGGCGAAGGCACCGTATAACACACCATATAAAGTTTATGGTTTGTTTAGACTCTTCTGGAACAACCAATAAGCCAAGTAAGCAGAAAAGACCCAGGAAGAGCTCAGGCTGACCCTGGGCCAGCCCAGCGATCTCCCTTCCTTCCCAGGTAGCCTAGGGTGCAGCCACTATGTGGAGTCCGCAGGAGTGCAAATGCTCTTCCTTCTGTTTCCCCACCCCCACCCTCTGGGCCCATGGCAACCGAGAAAAGTGTTTCTCACGAAGGCCTTAAAGGAGAAGACCTGTGCCCGTCCACAGGGCACTTATGGAGAAGGCTAAGCCCCTAAGCTCAAATTCTCACTAAAACTCCTTAAACCCTCTGGATCCAGCTGTGTCTGCCCGGAAAGCTGCTAAAGAGCGCCAACTGGTGGCACCAATGACTCGGCACTTGGGAAGCCAGACACTGCTTTCTCTCCTCCCTGTTCCTGATCCCACCTCCTTCTGGTCCCCTACCCCTACCCACTCCCAGCTGGTGACCCTCAGCCAAATTTCATCCTTCCTTCTTTTTGTCTTCAGTTCTTTCTCCTGTCAAAGGCAGTGCCATAGACTCCCCCAGGGTCTCAGAGGAGCAGGATTAAACCCCAAGGTATTTAATCAGAGCGATCTCCTTAGCGTTCAAGCAAAAAGAAAAAAAGCAAAGCCAATGAAATTCACTTTTTCTATAAAAGTTTATTTTGCAATTTTCCCCCAAGAAGTGGTCAGGATGCCTGTTTCAATTATGTAAAGAAAAGTAAGGAAGGGCAGTGTATAAAAATAACTTAAACATACATACTAGCAACAAAGCAACACATATCTCTAGTTACAACTGCAGATAATCTTGCCCAAGATTTCCCCAAGGGTATTAAATATTTTGTAGACAATGGGACAGACAGGCACACATGTCTCACACATATACACACACGCACACACACATACATACACACACACACACACACATATATATACAACTCAAGTATGTTTTCTGTGCATTTGCGCTAACCTCTACAGCTAAAGTGAAAACCTGAATTCCTGAGTGACCTTGAAGTGGAACCAAAACCTGCATCATTGTCAGAGCAAACTTTGGAGAGCGTGCTGTGATTTCCCCACCCACCTCATTTGCCCCTCGCCTGTCCTCTGTGCTACTCCTTTGACTACTAAAGGTGCCCTTCTGATCTACTCAGCCTCGTGTTAGCTATCTCAAAGCTGGGGCAGGCTGGCTTTTTCCTGACTCCCAGTGCTGGGAAGCGGTGACTCAAAAGACCCCCCCAGTTAGTACTACATCTGGCTGATTCTTTGTTTCAGGGCTTGGAGTTCCCTCTGAATTTCGTAGGGGAGGTCAACATTGACTTGGTCTTCCAGATACTTGCTGATCTCCTCCACCTCCTTCTCCCAGAACTCCTTGGAGATCCCTAGCAGCTCCTCCATGTTGACGTTCCCCAGGCCTTTCAGGTTCAGGGCGTTCTCCTTAGGAATGTAGCCAATGGGCGTGAGCTTGGCACTGTCTTCCCCTTCAATCCTGTTGAACATCCACTCCAGCACCCGAGAGTTCTCGCCGAAGCCCGGCCAGAGGAACTTGCCGTCTTTGTCCTTCCGGAACCAGTTGACGTGGAAGATCTTGGGCAGCTTGGCTGCTGGGCGCTGGGCCATGCTCAGCCAGTGAGCTAGGTATTTGCCGAAGTTGTAGCCAAAGAAGGGCCGCATAGCGAAGGGGTCATGCATGATGACCTTGCCTGTTGCACAGAGACCACCGTTTACCTCCAGCCCCATCATGGCAGATTCTCTCCCCTCTTCCCCCATGGCAGACACTGAGAAGAGGGCTAGGATTGCCCTTCTTGGGGCCTGCGGGCCCAGACTTTGACTCACCCTTGTGCTCTGCAGCAGCTGTGGCCTCTGATCTCATGGCCGCTCCTACAAACACTCCATGCTGCCAGCTGAGAGCTTCGTAGACAAGGGGGACACCTGGAGCAGGAGAAAAAGGTCGTAAAAGACTAAGACGCCCAGACTCCCTAGGACTGATGGTGCTGTGTCATTGTTCAACCAAGCAGTAGCCTTCTTTCGGATGAGGAAGTTTCACTTTGTAGCCCAAGACAGCCTGGGACTTACTCTGTAGCCCAGACTAGCCCTGAACTCACAGCAATCCTCCTGCCTCAGCCACCTAAGAGCTAGAAATGTAGGTGTGAGCCACCCTGCCTGACAAGCAGCATTTTCTGTGGAGTTAGTCTTACATCAGCAGAGACAATAAACAGGAAGTCACTAAACCCTGTCACACCAGGTCTCTCAGTGAAGCAGAGCGCTGGCCTATGCTATCTCAGATCACAGACCCGGAAAGACCTCTGAGGAGCAGAAGGCTAGTCCTAGATTTAAACTTGCCCAATTAATCTAGATATGGGAGAGGGAGATCTTTGGAACCAGTTAGGAAAAAGACTCCCTGGATTTTCTGGTATCGCCATAGCCCAGATGCCCAGCCTGAACAGAAGATGCCTCTCACCTGCAGGTCTACGACCACCAAAAATGATGCCCTCAATGGGCACACCTTCTGGAGACTCCCAGGCAGGGTCGATGATGGGGCACTGGCCAGCTGGGGTGCAGAATCGCGAGTTGGGATGGGCACAGGGTTCATCTACAAGAGAGAGAAATCCCTTAGTGTGTGACCCAGAGGGGTTCTGCCCACAGCCTAGAGCACATGGCCTCTGGGGGGGACTCACCATCCTGTGGCTTCCACTCCTTGTTCTTCCAGGATGTGATGGTGACACCCTGGGCCAGCGGCTCATCGATCCCTTCCCAGTAAACTCCCCCGTCGCTGGTCTCAGCCACATTGGTGAAGATGGTATTCCTCTGAATGGTCTTAATCGCATTGGGATTCGTCTTCACGGAGGTGCCAGGAGCAACTCCAAAGAAACCATTTTCTGGGTTGATAGCCCTTAAGTTGCCTGGAAAGTTGCAAACCAGAGAAGGGGGTGTGAATTGGAGCCAAGCATAGCAGAGTTCTTCACACCTTGCCAGGCTGGCTCACGGGCTAACATTTCCTCTCTTTCTCTTCCGCTCCCTAAACCACGCAGCCATCCATTTTGACCTGCATACCGTGGTCAGCTCAGACGCCTGCAGCCTTCCTTCTTCCCTGCCCCTGCAGTAACCCTCCTTTTCTAGTTCATTGTCTATCTTTCGTGTGTGTATATGTGGAGGGGGTGTGGTGTGAGTATTCCAGGGCACACGTGTGAAGGCCAGAGGATAACTTGCAGTGGTCAGCTGTCTCCTTCCACCATTAGGTCCTGAAAATCAAACTCAGGCCTTCGAGCTTGGCGGCAAGCGCCTTTATCCATACCACAAGCACCGCAATACCCTCCAAACAGGCATGCGAGCAAGCAAAGAGCTTCTCGTGGCCCTATCTATCCAGACGGTCCTCACAAAATATCTACAATGGCACTGCTGAGGCCTTGTTGACTCTGCCCTCAATCACTCAATGCCCAGTGCCAGTCACTTAGAAGAAGGTTACAGTGTATCTGAAGCCAACCACTCACCAAGGGTCATAACTACCATCAACCCGACCCAAAGACTCACCTTGGGCATCAAACTTCATCCAGGCAATGTCATCACCCACACATTCGACTTTCCACCCGGGGAGGGTGGGGTTCATCATGGCCAAGTTGGTCTTCCCACAGGCACTAGGGAAGGCTGCTGCCAGATATTTCTTCTTGCCTTCAGGGTTAGTTACACCCAGGATCTGCGGGGGTAGGGATCCACATTTAACCTCTAATCTTTGACACACGTGTGTGAAACTGTCACGAGAAAACCCATCACTCGGTATCATTGGTATAGTAAAAGGGAGAGACAAGGGGTTTGTGTTTTCAAACTATGGGAGGGTGGGAGAGGAGGGCAGGGAATTAAAAGGAAGACAGAGAGGAGAGGAGAGGAGAGGAGAGGAGAGGAGAGGAGAGGAGAGGAGAGGAGAGGAGAGGAGAGGAGAGGAGAGGAGAGGAGAGGAGATTGTAATACTGTTACAGTTTAAGAAATGAAGAGCTAAAAAAAAAAAAAAAAAAAGAAATGAAGAGCTGTGGTCCCTTCTGCCGGAGGTCTGGGAATGCCCCTAGGATCTCCCCAAAGGTAGATCCTCAGATCTTTTCCTTGGGGATCAGGATAAACTGAGGAGTTACAAAGGAATAAACCCCCAAGGCTACTGTTGCTCTAGTGTGTCTGAGCCCCTTCCAAGGAGATGGGCACTGAAGTTCTTCCAGTCAACTCGGTACCCCTGACTCTGCCCTCCTGTCCTCAGAGATTGGAGAATGTTGGCATGGCTCTTCTTTGCCACCCCAGGTCCTCCAAATGTCTGTCCAGGATCTCCTGACCACTTACCAGCATGTGTTCTGCCAACCACCCTTCCTCCTTAGCCAGCCGGCTGGCTATCCGCAGTGCAAAGCACTTCTTCCCAAGCAGCGAGTTCCCGCCATATCCACTTCCAAAGGAGATGATCTCTCTGCGGTCCGGAAGGTGGGCGATCAGGGTCAGCTCGGGGTTGCAGGCCCAGTTATTGATCAAAGGCTCTGAAAACAAACACCACATGAGTGTATAACGTGTATTCCTGCCCAGGTCTCCAGGCTGGCCTTGAACCAGCTATGGATGGCCTAGAACCTCCGATTCTCCTGACACTACCTCCTGAATGCTGGGATGATTGACCTGTCTCCCCATGTTCAGTTTATTTGGTGTCTGGGATCGAACTCGGGCCTCATGCATGCTAGGCAAGCACTCTACCTGCTGCACCACGTCCCCAACCCCTCCATTTACTTTTGATTAGGAAAGAACGTACTTACTTTTTAAGGGAAGAGGGCACCCCACCGAGTGGAGGCACTTGATAAACTCCCCGTCGCCCAGGGCCTCCAGCACGGATGTCCCCATCCGTGTCATGATCCGCATGCTGGCCACCACATAGGGCGAGTCTGTCAGTTCAATGCCAATTTTGGCCAGAGGCGAGCCCAGTGGTCCCATGCTAAATGGAATGACATACATGGTGCGACCTGCAGAGGCGGATGGGTGGGATTGACACTACAGAGGCTTGCAAAACATCCTCACATCAACTTCCGGGTGGTACTCATGGCTGTGTCTTGCCCGACATCATGTGTTCTGTTGCCCACCAGACTCTGATTTGCAAAACTTAAAATTTTCATAACCATCCACTTGGTTGCACTAAAGCCACTTTAAATCCACACTAATGGAAAGCATCTTTTTTATTTTTATTTATTTATATTTTATCTATTTGATATCACTTATTGAACAAGCACTCTACCACTGAGCCATACCAGCATCCTGCTTTTCAGTTTTTATTTTGAGAGAAAATGTTAAGTTGCCCAGGTGGGAAGTTTGAATCCTCCTGCCTCAGTTTCTCAATGTCTGGGATGACAGGTCTGAGCCACCAGGACTAGCAGGAAGCACTTCAATAGTCCTGCGTCACCACCCATCCAATAAAACTGGCCAGTACATTTTCACATGTCTACCCTATGCAGCTCAGGCCACCCTCAGGAGCATGAACTGGGTAGTCAGGAAACTGTGAGGCTTGGGGGTTTGAGTCCACTCACCTTTCATGCACCCTGGAAACCTGGTGTTGAAAGCCTTCTCAAAGTCCTCTTCTGACATCCAGCGGCCCAGCTGGCTGAGGCCAGTTTTGGGGATGGGCACAGTGTCTCTCTGCTCCTGAGTGATGATGACCGTCTTGCTTTCGATCCTGGCCACATCCCTGGGGTCAGTCAGAGCCAGCCAACTAAAAAAGTAACAGGAATTCCTTCAGCAAAGCATCCTTAGGGATGTGTCCCTCTTGCCTATGCCAGGCTCTTCCAAGGCTAGCAGGACACAAGGAGATTGTCCATGTTCCTTAAATATGGAAACCAAACCAACAGGGGCTTTTGCTAGACCATGAGCTGGCCATGGGGAAAGGGACCACCTTCCATAGTTGTCTAGAATCTATTGGCTGGCTATGCTAACCTCACAGGGTGTCTGGATTCTGGTCATTCTGCTATGGACTCCAAGAAGGTGGAACTGGGGAGCCTGAGGGCCAGAGAGTGTGGGTTGAGGGGACTCACCAGTTGTCATATTTCTTCAGCTTGCGGATGACACCCTCCTCCTGCATGTGGTCCAGCAAGCACCCATACTCCTCCTCAGAGCCGTCACAGATGTGGATATGTTCCGGCTGGCACAGCTGGGCATTGCCTTCCACGAACTCCCTCACCGCCTTGGGCAGGCTATCGAGGCTGCCCTGGACAACCTTGGCAGAGAAGTCTAGCCCGTTATGCAGCTGAGGAGGCATATTTGCCACTGTGTGTGAGGCAGGGATCCTGGTGTCACCTGAAACAGAGGAAGAGGCTCCTAATCACCGACTCCCACAGCTCCTCCCAGTTCCTCCTGTAGACTTCGCATGAGCTGCACGTGGCCAGGGAGCTGTGTTTGTCAAGGTGAAGAAAGTGAGTCGCCCCATCTCCCATATTTACTGAAGGGTGAGTGAAACAGCCCTACCTACCTTTCTGCCTGTAGGAAGGTCTGGATCGGAGATGGGAGGGTGTCTTGCCGGATTTCCTCTGTTGACCGAGGGCGTGTCCCAGAGGGAAGGCCGACTGTGCGGGGTGACCAGCCTTCCTTGCTTTAAATACTATACACAAGGCAGGAAAGCCCTGCCCCTCAGCTGTACCCGGAGGCTCGCCTCTGACGTAAGGGGCAGGCCCTTGGCTCATAGCCATGGTCAGCGAGGTTTGGAACCGACTTACCACAATAAACCCCGGGAAGATAATGATTGAACTTGCAGTTGTTAATGAATGTTGGGAGGCTTCAGGCCCCTCTGTCCGCCATAGTGAATCCTTACACAACATTTGATTGACTAAACTTTGACCCTGCCTGTTGCTGATGCAAATTACAGGCCCTTTCCTTGATTGGCAGGTAGGGATCAAGGACAGGGCTAGCTGGGGCACCTCTTGGACTCCATATGTTGTTGGCAGCACATTTTGTGTGCCAGTGACTGCTGGTTGTCAAAACACAGCAGCTCTGAGGTGTCAACCCAACGGTCAAAGGTCATGAGAAGAAAACTCCAGCTCCGAGACACTAGCCTTCTAGACAAATGTCCCGTAACAGCTGAGGTAGCTGGGGTGCGTTATCTCACTAGTGACTGGCAGATTCTCTGGCCACCCCAGAGGGTATGGGTTGCTGCAAGCTTTATTCTGAGGGGACAATGCCTGGCACAAGAGTCACTAATGCAAACATACTGATCCCTGCTCCCAGGGTTTTATGTCAGCTCATTCTTACTGCTGCCTGAGATGGAACTCTGACCCCTAGGAAACTGAGTCAGAATGATCAATTAGCAGGTCCCAGTGGCTAGTAAGAGCCAGTCTGGGCTACAGAGTACCATGGCTCCCTTGTAAAGTATCATTGTCTTTTCTAGAACCTTCTGTGTTTTCTTCGGGAAGTCCTGGGTTAGATACAATCACCCTTGGAGCTGCCTGTATACTTCTTGTAAGTCTGAGAGTCTAGGGAAAAGAAGAGGGGAGGAGGGAGCTTGGCAGTCTGCTGGGTCACACTTGAGCAGCAAGACCTTTATCACAGTTGTGAAGAATCTTCTCTGCAAGCCACAGACCTTGATTCCAATTGAACCAGTCTTGAGCTTGCTCGCTGGAGTTTAGAGAGAAGTGAGTGAGAAGTCAATGAAGACAGGCTGATGGCCAGGCCCAGCTCCCCACAGCTGGCCTCAGGGGGGCCAACAGGAGGTTGGCCCACTTCCCTGTGGGCAGTGGGGAATGGTCCCACAGGCAGCTCTGTGACTCTGCTTACTATGAAAGGCTGTCCAGACAGAGCACTCTTGGGTTTGGCCCACTGCATGGCTCTGTGATACCTAGTGCCTCCTGCACCCACATTGCCACCTCTCTGGAGTTCATCCAGTGGGCTTTCAGTGTGGTACAGAAGAAGGTGTTTTCTGTCCTGGTCACTGAGACTGCTTGAGAGGGGTGGCCTCCCCGTATGCAAACTGTGTTGTGTCTAAACCCAGCCAGCATGCCTTGCTCAGTAGCTGAGAGACATCGGGTACGATGCACACCTTCTCTGATCTTTGTGGCCAAGCCCTGCTCTGCTGCTAAAACTGTTGTGTGTGCGTTGGAGTCCCTGGAAGGCTAAGTTGAAAACAAAACCCGAGAGACCAGAACTGAAGTTTTGAAGCACCCTACACAAATCCAAGGTCCCTCTGCTGTGAGTCTCATAGGAGGGACCTAGCTAGTTTAATAACAGTGAGGGAGCAAGGGTCCCCATGACCTTCTAGTCAGTCTGTTCCCCCACATGCATTGTGCAGGGGTGCAGTAGTACCCATCCCATACCTTGTCAAGATGTCACAAGGCAGCTACTGGACTACAAAATGACCTGGAGGTCCATGGTCCTCTGAAAGAATTGAGAGACAAACAAAGCGAGGCTCTACTCAGGTAAAGCTGGCTCAAGTGCCCTCATCTCCAGATGGGGACACCCTGGGGTCCTGTCTTTCCTTGTCTTTGGTGATTTCAGGTCCACAAGAGGCCTCCCTGGACAGCCCTCCTGCCCCCTCCCCAGGGAGGAATTGTAAACCAGTTCATCTTCCTACTGCTTCATCTTGAATAGTCACAAAGGAAGCCCTAGGTACTAATGCTAGCTGCCCTGCTGGGGGTTCCCAGAGAGTCTCAGCCCGTCTTGTGTGCATGTTCAGTGCTTTGTACAGGACAAGTAGGGGTCGGGACTCTCACCGGGTGGGAGTTTCCCATGTGGTTTCTCACACAGACATGTGCAGACCCCCAGACTGAGGCCCATGCTTCCTAAGGTCAGGGCACTTCTTGGTCAAGTGCACAAACAGTTGTTTCTCTTTGTAAAGCTGCTTCAGAGGGAAGGGAGGAAGCCCAGACACCCAGGAACAGAGTCAGAATTATATTGCTGTATTAGTCAGGGTTCTCTAGAGTATCTGAACTTATAGAATTATATAAATATATATAGTGGAATATATATAATCCCACATATGAATATGTATGTATACACACACACACATACACACACACACACACACACACACATGAGATTCGTTCAAATGACTTACAGCTAGTCCAACAACGGCTAGCTGTGAATGGAAAGTCCAAGAATTCAGTAGTTGCTCACTCCAGGAGGCAGGATGTCTCAGCTGGCCTTTGTTATATACAGGCATCCCGAAACAGCAGGCTCTAAGACCAATGGAGGAATGGGTATGCCAATAAGTTGAGAGCAAGCCAGCAAGCAACAAAATCTTCCTCCTTCTGTTGTTCGTATATAGGCCTCCAGCAGAAGGTGTGACCTAGATTAAAGGTGTGTCTTCCTATCTCAAGATCCAGATTTTAAAAAAGTATGTCTTCACTGGCAGTGGAGGTGCACATGTTTAACCCCAGCACTCAGGAGGCAGAGGCAGGGGGATCTCTGTGAGTTCAAGGCCAGCCTGGTTTATAGAGTCAGTTCCAAGACAGCCAAGGCTACACAGAGAAACCCTCTCTTAAAAAATCAAAATGAGAGAGAGAGAGAGAGAGAGAGAGAGAGAGAGAGAGAGAGAGAGAGAGAGAAAGAACAAACCCTTGCTGCCAGGTATGGTGTAATCTAGTACCCAGGAGGCAGAGGCAGGAGGATAGTAAATTTGGCCCATACAGTGGTCCCATGGAAAAAGAGGTTGCATACACTTGGCCCATCTCCATGTCCACAGCTCACATCCCGTGGGAACGTCAATGGCTGTATTTGCATCCAGACTAAGATCAATAGTGATGACACAGATGGTGTCTATGGGTTCTGAGGTCACAAGTGCCTTCCCAGATGTGTTTATCCCTGTCGCCAGCAGCCATGACGTAGGCAGATACGGCTGCCACATACATTTAAGGCGTCATTTAAACCCAAGTAACCCGAACCTCCAAACCAGAGTCTGGCCCTCCTGGTGCCCCTGGCCTTCTGGGCAGGTAGAAAAGAAGTGGTTGCCTGAAAAATGCTGGCAATGCGGCCGTCTGATCGTTTCTCCAGAGAGGCTGTCTCCACGACGCCGGAAGTGGGTCTCAGAAAGTCCACACAGAATGGAGCAGTCAGGAAGCAGTATGAGGACCATGGTTGTGGCTCTGTTGATAGTGTGCTCCCTAGAATACACAAAGCCCTGAGTTCAACCCCCAGCACTCCATTAATCAGACAGATGGTACACACCTGTGATCCCAGCATTTGGGAGGTGGATGAAGGAAGATTAGGCCTTCAAGGTCATCCTTGGCTACATAGTAAGTTCAAGATTAGACAGAATGACATAAGAACCTGGCCATGTCTCACCAAAATGCAACAGTCGTATAGATAGCTAAATGAGTGGTGGCCATGCATAGTGGCTATGTGCCAGGCAAATCAGCAAGAGAAACACCCTGGGCTTCGTGGGGTCTCCCGGTGGGGAAACCTGATGATGCGTGATTGGGACTTGCCTTGCTGAGCTTTGGCTGCCTGGGGGTCAGTGAAAGAGCATCTTACCCTACCGTCCAGCCTCAGTCTTTAGAAACAACAGGAGTCAGGCCTGTGGTGTTTTTTTTTAAGGATTAATGCATCTTTATTATGTATACAACATTCTGCCTCCATGTATGCCTGTACGCCAGAGGAGGGTGCCAGATCTCAGTACAGATGGTTGTGAGCCACCATGTGGTTGCTGGGAATTGAACTCAGGATGTCTGGAAGAGCAACCAGTGCTCTTAACCACTGAGCCATCTCTCCAGCCCAGGGCTGTGGATTTGAGATGGTGCCCCCAGGGCTGGGTTATTCCACCAAACCTCCTCCAGAGTAGAGTGAAGACCCAGAAAGATGTCCCTTGAGAGTCCCCTTCACCTACAGAACCTGACTCCCCCAGTGTAACCCTCAGACTTTCTAGATCTTAGGGTGTGAAGAAATTTCATATCCAGGACATCTGCTCATCACCAGGGTTCAAGCCCTGTCCTCCACCTCCCCAAGCTGCACCTGTCCCTCTCAGACCACAACTTCCCAGGTCACCTTAGCTATGGATGGAGGGGCTCCCCCTCACCACAGGGATAGCAGGGTAAGGTGACTGCCGAGAGGTTACTCTGTCCAGAGATCTGAACTCATAGGGACTCCTACTGGCAAAACTACGGTGACTGTTTCTCTAGAAGAAAGCAAGAAACAGTGTGGATCCCACACATGAGAGCCAAAGGCATCTCCTCCTTTAGATCCCTACTGCCTAGGGGCTACTGGAGGGGCACCTGGCTGGCCTCTCTGTGGAAGTTCCGGACAGCAGAAAACACTGCAGCCTGGAATCGTCACCAGGGCGATTCGGGTCATCCACCTCAACTATGTTTGTCAGGGACAAATATTTAGATGTTCTCTCTGCAGCCCGGGGAGTGGGGGTGGGGGCGCATTTGCCGGTGAGTGAATGCTGAATGAAAAAGATCACATTTCCTTGGCCCCCTCTGTTTTGAATTTCATCTCAAAAAAGGGGGGGGCAGCACTTGGGAGGCAGAGGCAGGTGGATCTCTGTGAGTTCAAGGTCAGCCTGATCTACAGAGTGATTTCCAGGATGGCTAGGGCTGTTAAAGCAGTCCTGTCTCAGGAAAAGAAAGAAAGAAAGAAAGAAAGAAAGAAAGAAAGAAAGAAAGAAAGAAAGAAAGAAAGAAAGAAAGAA